TCTCTCTCTCTCTCCCCCTCTCTCCCCCTCCCTCCCTCCCTCCCTCCCTCCCTCCCTCCCTCCCTTTCTCTCTCCCTATCTCTCTCCCTCTCACCCGAGCCGGGACGAGCTTAGGGTGGTGTACGTCCCCCAACCCAACAGGGAGAAATGGGGAGGTGGGGCCTGTCACAGAGCCAACCTGGCGGTCCCCCTAAGCGCACACCTAGTCCCACCCGCCCGTTGCTCACCTGGGCACACAGCTGGACGAGCTCCGGTCCACCTCCCAGGTGGCATACAAATTCATCTGCACCGGGGCGGGGGTGCGGCCTGGTCCTGGACCGCCGGGAGGCGCAGAGCCCGAGGCCACCGCGACGGCCATGGAGGTGGAGGTGGAGGAGGACGAAGAAGAGGCGGCCGCAGCAGAGGTGGACGAAGAGGACGAGGTGGCCTGGGCCAGCTTGGGGGGCGTTGGCTGTTGCGGCAGCGGTTGCTGCTGCGGTGGCTGCTGCTGGGGAGACTGGGCGACCCCAGAGCCCCGCTGGCCGCTGCCGCCCCCGGCGCCACCGGGACCACCGCCCGCCCCTCCGCGTTCCGCCATGGCCTGGCCAGGGGTCGAGGGGGCGCAGGGCTTACGCAGACTAAGGCCACGCCGAGCGGCTCGCAGGCTTCCCCCCGCGGTGGCGGCAGCGGGGGCTCAGCGCGACTCAGACCGCCCGGCGGAGCGCGAGCCGCCAGCGAATCTGCACGCACGCGCGGGCCTTCGCTGCGCGCGGTCCTCGCGCTCGCCCGCCGCCGCCTGTTGCGGCCCGCGCGGCCCAGACACTGGGTGGGCGTGTCCGAAAGGGGGCGGGGAGCCGCGGTCCCACCCAGCCGGGCGCCAAGGGGCGGGGCCAGCCGAGCTCGGCCCCGCGGCCTCTGGGGAGGGGGCTACAGTCGGAGCGTTCTCGCTGCGCTGCTCTCAGGCCTTGGAGCGCCAGCTCCGCGTTCCTCCTCCCCCTCCGGCGGCCGCTACCCCGCCAGCGGAAACCCGGGTTTTCCGGGGCGCGGTCTCGGACCGGAGAGGGCTGCACGGGAGCGCGCTCAGCCCCTGGGATCTGCCGAGCACGTAGCGGAGGCCAACGCTCAGCGGGTCACGCGTTGCGTGAGAATCGGATAACCAACCTGCTGTGGCGACCCCTTCTGTGGGCTACTGGATACTTCGCCCACTCCTGTAAAAGGAGCTGTAAGTGGAGATCCAGCGACTGGCCACCACCTCGGGCACCTGAGCTAGGAAGTTTGCTCATGAGGGTAGGCAGGAGCACATCGAGCTAAGGTTGGCCAAATCTAACAGCCTTTCTTCTTGGTACAGCGCCCCCCCCCCCCCCCCCCCCCTCCACACCAGCCTTCATTTCAAAGTCCCAGAGTGCCTCAGTGCTTTCTCAATTTCAAAAATTCTATTTCTCTCAAGGCCTGATCAGCTGCCATACCCCACCCCCACTGCACTTGCACCTTCCTACACCCACACCTCACTTCTCCCCAGTACTTGAGCAAATGTCATGGGATTCCATGCTCCAACCCAGTCTCAGAACTCAAGGGCGCCAGGGAAAAACAAGCCCTTCAAACATACACACATAACTAATGAATCCAAGGGTTAGCAGGGACGCTGGAACAATTTAGATTTTGAAACGTTGATGTTCTCCAATAACTAAGAAGTAGGCCCTTCTGCCACAAGGTCAACGAGGAAGGCCTGACCTGGCCTACTTCCCTAGCCTACAGTTACTTCCCAGCCTAGCCTGGGTGCTAAGCTGGCTATTTTTATTCCCCAGGGACAAAGCAATAAGGTCAGACCAGACCTAAAGGTATTTCCCTCAGAGCCTTCAGACAGAGGGGTAAGGGGTAATAAATTATCCACAATTTCAGCACAGCAACCTACGATCCCATAGTCCTATGGGGTAGTCCATGATTCTAGGCAAGAAGTTCATGCTTCTGCAGAAGCTAAGAAGGAGAGAGATTCGAGAGTGTCATATATTCATCCATCCTTGGGAAACAGCTTTATTTACAAAACAAGTCTAAAATAAGAACATGAAATGACAAGCCTAGGGAAGTACAGAGTTAGCTTTGGGGACCCACTTATAAAGCCCAGACATACAAAGGGCCTAAAGGAAGGCCAGCTATATGAGGGGGACCTAAAATTTGAATTCCTTGTATTTCTTGCTGCCCCCACGACTGTCCTGGGGCTGAGCTTTCCGTTTCTTTTGCTGTAAGAGAAAGAGACAGGTTACAACAGGTTAAACAATCCCCAGACAGTCATAGACATAAAAATTGAAAAAAAGAAAAAAGCACTGAAAACCACAATCTCTCAGATTTGCATCACTTTCTTCTGCTTCCTGTGCCCCAGCATCACATCATTAAGAGATGGCAACCAATGGGAGATCTCTAAGAGCTTCAGGCACTGGGTCCACCTTCCCTCTCAGCACTGAAGCACACAGCTCCACCAGGGCAGACAGACTCTCCTCCTAGGCTGTCCCCCAGGGTCCCGGGTTGCACCCACCTTCTGTTTAGCAGCATGCTCAGCCACCATGTCACTGAAGTCTTCCTTCTCCACTTGTGCCTGCTGCTCCCGCACATGTTCCTCATACTTCTGGGTCATGGCCATGGGGTCCAGCTCCAACTCCTCAGGGGCCAGCGCTACTTCCACACCTTGCAGTTCAGGGGCTGGGCCCTTCCGACTCATGACCGTGGACATGTCATAGATGTGGGTTGACCCCATCATGGCTCCCCCAACAGTGGCTGTTCTCTTCTCTGGCAGTACAGTGAACAGTTGAGGTGTCTCACTACTGTAAAGGACAAGAAAGTAAACTCAGTAAGGGACAAAGGGTCTCTGGAGTCAAAGAAACATAGATAGCAATTAGATTCTTGGAGAATTCCACGATGACTGCAGCTCAAGTATCTATAGAACTTTAGGTTAGGGATGTGGTGTGGGTCAGTGCTGATCCTACAGGACAGAATCTGTAAGGGCTACAGACACTAAACTAAGGGATCTTCTGAGTCAAATTAGGAGAGCAGAACCAGGACTTCCACGTAAGGAAAGGTTAGTGGTCAAAGAGGCTAAGTTTCGTAGAGAACTTTAGAGCCAATGAAACAGCTCAGCTGGCAAGCCAGACTGACCTTTATAGGAACCCATAGAAAGGAGAAAGGAGAAAACCAACTCCACCAAGCTTGCTGCGGCACAATAGCACATACACACATAGACCCACACAAACTCACCATGCATGCACACACAATAAGTGTTTTTAAAAAAGGATAGCAGTCAGGCAGAGGCAGGTGGATCTCTCTGAGTTTGAGGCCAGCCTGGTCTACAAGAACTAATTCTAGGACAGCCTCCAAAACTACAGAGAAACCCTGTCTTGGGGGGGGGGGGGGACTATATACTGATCAAAACTGAAGATCTGTAGGAATATAAAATACCCTGGGCCCAGTCAAGTAAATTTCACAAAGCTAAGCAGCCAGCCAGAAACTATTAGACATATAGCAAGGCATGGTACTGCACACCTATATTTAATCCCAGGACTGGGGAAGCTGAGACAGGAGAAGGCCATGAGTTCAAGGCCAGCCGTGGTGACAATAGAGACCCCATCTCCCCACCCCACCCCCAAAAAAAGCCACATGGGGCTGGAGAAATGGCTCAGTGGTTAAGAGCATTGCCTGCCCTTCCAAAGGTTCTGAGTTCAATTCCCAGCAACCACTTGGTGGCTCACAACCATCTGTAATGAGGTATGGTACCCTCTTCTGGCCTGCAGACATACACACAGACAGAATACTGTATACATAATAAATAAATAAATATTTAAAAAAAAAAAAGCCACATGGCTTTCACCCCAGCACTAAAGGAAGCAGAGGAAGGCAGATCTCTGTGAATCCAAAGGAAGCCTGGTCTACATACAGACATAGGTCAGCCAGGGCAACACAGTAAGTAAGATCCCATCTTAGAAAAAAGAAAGAGAAGTTTCAACTCACAGAAAGGACAATAGCAATCAAAATCTGTCCGGAGAGCTACAAGTAGTAGCACACACCTATAATCCCAGCCCTTAGGAGGTGGACGAAGAGAGAGAGAGAGAGAGAGAGAGAGAGAGAGAGAGAGAGAGAAAGGAATTCAAGATCAGCCTAGCAAATGGGACTGAAGAGATGACTCAGTGGTTACGAGCACTGACTGCTCTTCCAGAGGACCCAGGTTCAATTCCCAGCAACCACATGGCAGCTCACAACTGTCTGTAACTCCAGAATCCCCAACACCCTCACACACATATATATAGATACAAAACACCAATAAAATAAAAATAAAAAATAATTAGCAAGCAAATACACAAAGTGTCATTACAGGGCCTGGGGAAATGGGTCAGTAGGTAATGTGCTTGCTATTCAAGCACAGGGACCTGAGTTTGGATCTGAAAACAAATTGTGTCTCTAAATCCAGCGTAGGGGCAATGGAAACAACAGCAAGTCACAGGGTCTGAGCTGGAGAGGTTAAGAGCATTGCCTGCTCTTCCAAAGGTCCTGAGTTCAATTCCCAGTTACATGGTGGCTCACAACCATCTGTAATGGGGTCTGGTGCCCTCTTCTGGCCTGCAGGCATACAGACAGAATATTGTATACATAATAAATAAATAAATAAATAAATAAATAAATAAATAAATAAATAAATAAATAAATAAATAAATATTAAAAAAA